AGTCCTTCTGCCACCTGCTCTATTGTTGTTCCACATCTTCTTGATTCTGGCCTGCACTCACTTCTTCCTTTTCCCTTTTGGAGCAGAAGGGCCGTAGTCAGCTGCCCTTCCTACTGGTGTCATCACCTCCTTGGAGTGACAGCTGCCAGGGGTCAGGTCCTGCACTCACAGAGGTATGTCTCAACTCCTTCATGTGCTTTCTTAACCCACACGTTCCTTGAATAGGTACTCACATGGGTCACTGCTTCCCACTTTAGCTCCTGACCCTTTTGCTATTAGCCCTGTATGACTTCCCACAGCAACAGAAAACTGGTCCTTTCTCTCATTATTTTCTTCTTCATTGTGCATTTCTGGAAGTTCACATATTGCAGTTTTACATTCTTGGAGTTCCTTCATTATCTATGTGTTTTTCGTGTTGTTATGCAAGGTTGGCAGTGTGCCATTGTGGGTAAAGCTACCACCTGGACTACAAGCATCCCATTTGGATGCCAGTTTACATTCTGACTGCACCACTTCCAATCTGGCTGTGTGCCAAGGGCCTGGGAGAGGCTATAGAAGATGGCCCAAGTGCTTGAGCCATGGCACTTGTGTGGAAGACCCACATGAATTTCCTGGCTTCTCTCTGGCTTTGCTCTGGCTCTTGTGGCCTCTTGGGTGGTGAACCAGCAGATGGAAAATCGTTCTTTCTGACTCTCACTGTGAAGGAAGTTGTTTATAGTAAGAAGAGCTGAGGGAGGGAGGGAGCTTCCAACAGCAGTGTGGCAGCTATTGGGGGTACATGAGTGAGGTCGGACTAAATGCTTAGGGCCCTGGCCACGGCCACTGTTGCCACCCAGTGAGCGAGTCCTGGACTTTGGGCAGCCAGCGCGCTAAGTGATGCTGAGCTTCACCTGCTGGCCATCCAGCAGTGAGCTCTAGGGTCTTTGTAGTGTGTAATGCTGCCTAGGGCCTTATCCATGGATACGGGCCATGTGCATGTAGGTGAGGATTGAATATTGTGTGACTCCCAGCGACAGGGTCACTGTACTTTCAAATGAGTTTGGAGGGAATAGTCTGTAAGATCACTTTGGGTCAGATTGATTCACCAGCCCACATGGGAGTTCTGAGATGGGCTGTTAGTGCAGAACATCACAAACCGCCACACGCCAGCCCACACGAAAGCTGTGGCTCAGGGCCTGTCTTGTGGGGGTAGATCCCAGTACCTGACTGAATGCAGGAACAGGGGATGGGTCACATTAGGCAGGGTCATGACACTAACCACCATGCGAGAGAATCAGGTCCAGGGGTAGATTCTACAGGGGATAAGAGGGCCCAACCCTGTAGAAATACAAGTCCTACTGGTTAGCTTAAGAGTTGGGGTGGTGAAAGGCTGAGCTAGGACTGACCATGGAACCCGCCAACAGTCATGGGTGCTGGGGTTGGAAACAGGTTGGGCAGGTCCAGGCTGCAACACCCACATGTGCATCCTAAAACACAGGGTGTGAAGCAGGCCGAGCTGCCACATCCTCCAGCTCATACAAAGGCCAAGATGGAGTGGCAGGCTATAACGGGCAAGGACCTAGCACCTGCTAGGAGCTTGTGAGATCTGAGTCAGGGAGTAGCCTGAGACGGGGAACCTGGAAAACTGCCCTATTGGGGAAATATATCCTAATGTCGAGCACATGTTCTAGGCCTGGCAACCTGAGCAGAGCAACTCCAACTGTTGGCCAATTTGGGTTAGTTTTGGATGGGGGTGGACCAGGCAGGGCTGAACCAACCTTATCTCACCAGCAAGAACATAAATCAGGCTGGAGCACAGGTCAAGCTCAGCTAGGCTCTCACACCTATCCATTTGCATGAGCCTCGGATGAGAGCAGACTAATCAGGGCCAGGTTCCAGCATCCACCTGCGAGTGGTGGGACTTGGGGCAGGCCTGGTCAGACCAGGCTACAACATCCAAAGGCAAAGGTCATGACAGGTGTAGGACCATGCCAAGCCTGATCAGAGCAACCACTGCCCCATGCAAGATCTATAGATGATCTAAGGGGATGCCCTGGCAGGGCTGTGGGTAATGACTGATGGGCTGTTAGCGCCACAGTTCTACCCTGTATGACTTTCCACAGCAACAGAAAACTGGTCCTTTCTCTCATTATTTTCTTCTTCATTGTGCATTTCTGGAAGTTCACATATTGCAATTTTACATTCTTAGAGTTCCTTCATTATCTATGTGTTTTTCATGTTGTTATGCAAGGTTGGCAGTGTGCCATTGTGGGTAAAGCTGGACTTGGGGCAGGCCTGGTCAGACCAGGCTACAACATCCAAAGGCAAAGGTCATGACAGGTGTGGGACCATGCCAAGCCTGATCAGAGCAACCACTGCCACATGCAAGATCTATAGATGAACTCTATTCTGGGTATATGCTTGCAAAGAAAGAATCTCAACTGAACTTGAGCTGTTGTTATGCAACAAGGTGGAGGAATCCACCATGGGGAGAGGGTTATTGGAGGGGTGGGGGAAATCCCAGTGCCGATAAAACTGTATTACATAATACAATGCTATTAACAATTAAAAAAAAAAAGCAAGATCTATAGATGGGAACAATCCTGTTTGGGGAGCTAAGGGGATGCCCTCGCAGGGATGTGGTTCCCACTGGTAAGTGTGGTGGCCAGAGTGGGATTTGCAGTCTGGTCTGGACATGCCTGCAGTGTCCCTTGGCACAAGTATGCACTGGGGTTGAGTGTGCCAGACTGGACTAGACCCTAGCACCCACTGGTGCTGGTGCTATCCAGGATGAATATAGCATAGGCTGCTAGGTTTTTCCCCTGCTGAGCCAGATGTGAGCTGTGTCTGCCTGTGGACCAGGCTAGACTGGGCTGTAACACCAAACAATAATAACTGGAATGGGTTCATGACAGTCACGAAAGGCCATTGTTCCTGCTAGGTCAAGGGATCCACTGAGTAGGGCTGGCCCATAGTCCCAGTGGTGTGTGTGTGATCTGGCACTGGAGAGGTTGTGATGGAGGACCCTGAGAGACTCCTCAGTCAGGACACATTCCCTATATGTGAGAGCAAGAACCACGATAGGGAGCAGCCCAGACAAGGCCAGGTTATGGTACCCACTGGCATACTTTTGGTGCAGATCAGGGTCAAGCGAGGTTGGATGAGTTCATATCACCTGCTAGTGAATCTCAGCCCAGAATGGAGTGTGGGTCGGGCCGGGTTTGGTAACAACACACGCCAGTACACATGAGACATTGGACTGAGTGCTAGCTGGCTGTGCTAGGCTGTAGCCCCCACCAACCTGAGGTGGAATTGGGGGTGGCCATGCTGGGCCAGGCTACCATACCCACTGGAAAAGCTGAGGTGAAGCAGGCCATGCCAGACCGAGCCACGGCACTCAACCAGCACACACAAGACTTGTGACTGCTGCTGAAGCACCATACATTACAATAATTTAGGGGGGGAATGGAGGGAGGGTAAATGTGGCGGATGAAGGGAAAATATCTAAGCCTATGAAACTGTATCATAAAAAATAAACATTAAGTGCTCGCTTTGGCAGCACATATACTAAAAAATAAACATTAAAAAGTTTTAAAAAGTTGTATTTACTTATGTGAAAGACAGATTTATTAGAGACACACAGAGAGAAAGAAAGTACAGACAGAGAGGCAAAGATCTTCCAATCCATGGTTAATTCCAGAAAGACCTCATAACCAGATCTGAGTCAACTGAGGCCAGGAGCCAGGACCAGGTTCTGCGCTGGGTCCCCACAAGGCAGCAGAAGCCCAGGACTGAGGCTGTCCTCCACTGCATTCCCAGGTGCACTAACAGAGGGCTGGGCCAGAAGTGCAGCAGCTGAGACCCAAAGAAGCACCCTTACGGAATGTCAGCCCTGCAAATAGAAGCTTAGCCCCGTATACCTCAGAGCCGCTCCCTTGGGGGACTATCAGGGCGGAGGGCACACTTAAGTGGGATCCTGACCCTTCTGGAGGGAAGTTCTGTCATCCAGAGGGGTGATCCTCCAAGTTGGCAGTGCCATGTAGTCTGGGGCAGACTCTGAGTGAGGACACCACTGGTCTTTGCTTCTGAGCCATGCATAGGACTCTGCCACTGTGGCTTTGATGGGTGGCAGGGCAGCAGGTAGGGATGCTGCCCTGTGTGTGTGCAAAGGAGACACCTGCTGGCTTGTTCCAGGTCCTCTCTAGGAGTCACATGTGCAAAGCCTAGCTGATCCTTGAGAGAAACAGGAAGCTTGCACCCAGGCCCCGCTTCCTGGCTACTTACCTGTGCCTCGTGGGGGCTCTCCGCACTGCACCTTCTGGGAGCAGTGCTGGGGGCCCATACTGCACAGGCAGTGCCCACTTGGGGGGGAACACCAAACTCGGGAGTCTCTGTAGGGGCTTGGAAGCCCAGAGCAAGCTGTCATACTGCTCTTGGCATCCATACTCTACCAGGATGCAGAGCCACCTGCCAGCTCCCTGTCTGCCCACTCCTCCTCCTCCTCCTGAAGAGCACCTGAGTGGAGCTGAGCTCACCCCACAGCTGAGTGGGCTTGGGGGTGTCATCAGCGTCTACAAGGATGCCCTCTGGCATCCCTGCCTTCTGAGCCCTGCCTGCTCCTTTGCCCACTGCTAAGGTCTTGGTCCTCCTCTCACTGGGATCCTACCTCTGGCTGCAGCCTCTGCTTCCTAGGGCCCAGCATCACCTGCGTCATTTCCTCTACTGCTTCTCACCTGATTCAGTGGACAGAAGACCCCTGGCTTGGCTTCCACCCTGGTCCACAACAGTGAGCACGGTGGGGGAGGGGTGCAGGTAGGGAGAGTGGGAGGCAGATGGCCCTAAGTGCACCTGCTCTGCCCAGCGCAGCTCCGACAGGGAGGAGGCGAGAAGAGAAGGGCTGTGGGTGGTCACCGCTGGCTGCTCTTAAATCCGGCTGAGGAGGCAGGGTCAGTGTGATCCCACGGGAGCCCTGGGAAGACGAAGAGGGGCTCTTCCTGTTGTTCCTTAGCTGAGGGGCGATGATGGCCAGACCCTGGCAGGTTCCCCAGCTCCTGCTGGCCGTCTTGGTGGCCCTTTTGGCTGTCACTCAACAGTCACGGAGGAAAAGCTTTGTAACTGTCTATGAAGTTTCCGCAGCGGAGGAGCCCGTGTTGGGGTGCTTGCAGTTCGTTACCAATGAATACAACAAGCAGAGTAACGACACGTACAACTTTAGGATCATTCGGATCCTGAGGATCCTCAAGCAGGTCAGTGTGTGCCCCATGCCTGCCCTGCTCACCCACCTGTCCATGCTGGGACTCCTGGGTCCCTGTTTCCCCCAACCTCTGTGCTGGGAGAATCCCCTGTGAAAAATGACTAGAGCTCAAGGTCCCAGCAGGGAGCACCACTGCCTATGTTTGACAAAATAATGCTCAATGCATATAAATGTGCAAGTTCTTGGGGTTGATATGAAATGAAGACATCTGAGGAGATCAGAATGCTATCTCACACCTGCTTAAGGTACACATTGGAACTAGCACACCTCCCCCAGCAAGAGTTAGATTTAATATGCATGGAGGGGAGCTGCTAAAGCAGGCAAAGTCCCACTGGGCTGGTACTGAAACTGGAAGCGGGCATTTTGAGGGAGTGTGCGTGCACTAAGGCAGGTCTTGTTACATCGCTTACAGGGCAGCTCAGGCCTTTATGGCCCAGGATCCTGCACCTGCTGCCTGCCTGTGGATGCAGTGCTCCTGGAGCTCCTGTCTCTGCCCTCGTGTCCTCTGCAGGTGCGTTCCTGCCCAGTGGCAGGCTGACGCATTGCACAGGGACAGAGCAGCCCAGCAGACCCTGAGCATTTGCTCTGCGGGCGTGCCTTTGGCATCGTGGTTTGCAGGCCCCTTGAGACACCTGCCACTCATGTCAGAGTCCTGGCTCTGCTCTGAATTCCAGCTGCCTGCTCCTGTGTGCGCTGCTGAGCACTGGGGGCGGCCCCAGCACTTGGGGCCCTGCCACCCACGGAGAGACCCAAGTTGAGTGTTGGCCCCTGACTTCTCCTGCCCAAGACCCCTTCATTCTAAACATTTGGGAAATGAGGTGGCACCCTGGCATATCCCTCTCCATCTCATCCCTTTGGAATGAAACAAATGATAATATGAGCAAAGTGATTGGCTGACCCCAGCCCTGAACAATTGACTTCCTTTGTGTTATCCAAGCTGTGCGTGGCTTTGCCCACAGAGAAAGACTCTGTGTGTGGTGATCTCTGGGGAATTCTCTCTGAATGGCAAATGGAGACAGAGGCCCAGACAGCAAGGGAGAGAGGAGGCGCCTGCTCTGCCCAGGCCTGGGTCCTTGCTCTTGGGCACAGCACAAAGGATCCCCCCTGCAGATGCTCTTGCCACCTGCCACCCCCAGGTGACGGATCACTTGGAATATCACATGAACGTGGAAATGTGGAGGACCACCTGCCTAAAGCTGGACCCCAAGCCCTGTGACTTCCAGGAAGGCGAGCTCTACAAGGTAACTACAGGGAGGCCCCTTCCCGCAGGTGCTTCCTGTGGGCGTGTCAGAATCCCACAGGATTTCTTCTGGGCTGCCTCGGGAAGAAGGCATGAGCTACACCTCCTTTCTCAGGGAGGGACTTGAGCGTGGGACTGGCCGAGACACTGCTCCGGGGTGCGGGGTGATTCTGAGGAGGCTGAGGGGGTGCAGAGGGCAGAGTCAGGATGGCTCAGTGCCACAGGCCACTGTTTCCTGTGGCTAATAGTTCATCAGCTGAGGATGGGGCTGGGGCGGGGGGAAGATGTTGACAGCTGCCGCAGCTGAACATCTGAGCCCCAGCGAGATGGGAAGATGAATCAGTGAGTGACTGTGCTCCTTGCACATTGCAGTGCCTGGTGAGTAGGAGACAGAGATGAGAAAGCAAGTCCAGGAATGATCTGATCGCTGGCAGGGGCCAGGGAGGGGATCGAGTTGTTGGTGTGTGACCTGCACAGGGTCTTTCCCCTCAAGTGTGATTCAGTCCCCACCGTGCTGGGCAGACCCCGGCCCTGGCCATCTTCACAGCCGTCAACAGGAGAGCTTCCCGGATCATGAGTCCTACCAGCCCTGCCTGCAATGACCCAAAGAATGGACACTCACTTGTCTGTCAGTACCACCCTGCCTGGAGTAATCCCAATTGAAGGATTAGCTTACCTTGGTAGAATCCTAGAAGCACATCTATGCTTATAATATGTCTTTCATGGTTAATAAATGTGGTCACCCAAGCTGTAACACCCTGGCATCACAGCGCAGAAGTGTGTCCATGCAGGGTCTGGACAGTACTTTAGATGGACAGTACTTCAATCCTGAAAAAGTAGGTTTCATTGTTACTCCCTGGAGCAGTGCATGAGCTCTATAAAAACAATACTTGGAGACTCCAGAGAAGTAAATCCAAAGAACTTTTGGATTAGAGATTGAGATGATAGAATTGGAATATTGAATTCTATGTTAAGCAAATGTAAGCCCTCCCATGCCCTCTCCGATCCGTGGTTGTCAAATAAAGAACAGAAAACACAATCATGCAGAATATGTAATATGTGCTTAAAATGTTGAGCTCTTATCAGAAGGGAAGGAAGAGAGAAAGAAAAGGAAAAATCAGGAGAATACAAGAGAAAGAAATAAGTCAGATAATGTGTGGACAAATGAAGAAGGATAGGAAGCAAATGGATAATGGATGGAAGTTCAGAAGAATGAGTAGATGGGACTCTTTGAGTGCATGTGGGAAAATTGATGGATAAATTGGTAGATGGACGGCTGGACAGATGGATACATGGATGGATATATGGGTGGGTGGGTAGATGGACGATGGACAGCAGGATGTGTTTGTGAAATGGATTCATAGATGGATTGATGGACAGATGGGTATGCGGATGGATAAATGTGTGTATGGAACTGGATATGTGCATGTGGATAAATGATGGATGATGGATGCATAAATGGAAGGATGGACTGATAGATGGTTGGATGGATGGATGGATGGGCAGGCAAATGTATGTATGGAGATATGGATGTATATGTAAATGGGTGTATGACTGAAGCCAGGCTAGATAACTGGAAGAATGGCTGGATGAGCGGTTGGAAGCATGAATGAATGGATGGTTGAGTTGATACACGAATGAAAGATAGATTGTTATATAAATGGATAATGGATAAATAAACAGATGGATGAATATATGAATTCATTGATAGTTGGATGAATGAGTAGATTAATTAAAGGCAGGAAGGAAGAAAGTGGGCAAAGGAAGATGTGAAGTTAAAAAATGGCACAGAGTAAAGAATCTGTAGGTTCTGAGAGAACTATGGGCTGAGTGGACCCTTTAGGCTCAGCTACAAATGTGACTGCAGACAGAAAGACTTTCTTGTATGAGCCCAGCAAGAGCACTACCAAGTGACTGAACTCAGGGTCAACACTGAACTAGCTGTGGGTGGGAAGGTGCTGAGGGATGGTGTGGTGTGGTCATCCCCCAGCTTCCCGCCCAGCGGTCCCTGCCTGCCCCTTACAGATGTCTGCTTGCATGTGAATCTTTGGTGGTGTTCTTTGGGGGTCACTGTCTTTGGGGGTCTTCTTGTTGTTTTAGCACATTCAGTGCTTCTTCGCCGTGTTTGCTGACCCTTGGATTGAGAAGTTCAAAATCCTGAAGCAAAACTGTAGCAGCATATGAGTGTGAGGACGTATACCTGCCACTGCCATACGGGAGAGTGTCCTGGAGACAACAGGGGCCCTGACCCAGACAATAAAGGTTTGTCCACCTGCTCTTCTAAGGATCTTAGCATTTCTCATTCCACTTTCTTTCTTTTCCCTTTCTTTCTTTCTTTCTCTCTTTCTTTCTTTCTTTCTCTCTTTCTTTCTTTCTTTCTTTCTTTCTTTGGATTTATTTATTGTTATTCCTAAGTCAGATTTACAGAGAGGAGGAAAGACAGAGAGGAAGATCTTCTGTCTGATGATTCACTCCCCAAGTGGCCGCAATGGCCGGAGCTGTGCCAATCTGAAGCCAGGAGCGAAGAACTTCCTGCAGGTTTCCCAAGTGGGTACAGGGTCCCAAGGCTTTGTGCCATCCTCGACTGCTTTCCCAGGCAATAAACACAGTGGGAAGTGGAGACACCAAGATTAGAACTGGCACCCCACATGGGATCCCGGCGCATTCAAGGAGAGGACTTGAAACCCTAGGCAACAGTGCCTGGCCCTTTTTCATTCCTTTCTTCTCTTCCCCACACCCCAAGTTACTCTTCTTATAAGAACATAATCTGAAGGCTTACTGGGCTAGTGAAATTTGGGATGACCAAGTGAATCATGCCTGGCTTTGCAGTCTGTAACTACATGATAGTAGGACTTCTGCCACATCTTCATAGCAAGTAGGACAGGGCCTGAAACCATTGGCTATTGTGTTTGTGAAGCATTTACGTAGAAAAGTGTCAGAGCAGACATGCTCACAAAGGAAGGATGTTTGCTCTTCCTTTATTCCTTTTTGTTTGCTTGTTTTAACTTTGATTATCTTTACATAGTTGATTAGGGCTCAAAGGATGAAGGGTTACAGGAAAGTGGTAAGACCATTGTTTCCATATTCTCTTTTTTTCCTTCCTTTATCTGGGAGAAAGGGAAAGACAAAGGGAGAAGCCACACCCAGCCTTCCCACCCACCCCAGATCCCCACGTGGGGCATGCTCTGAGGGGCCTGCTCAAGTTGTTTTGATAGTTCAACAGTTCTGATTTGCTCCTGATCTCGCCACTCCAAGCATAATGAAATCTCTTCAGAATCCACTGGCTGACATAGTCCACCTTAGCATCTCCACTTGCTCAGATTTTCACTGCCAACACTATGCTGTGCTAGTGGATCAATTTGTTCTGTCCTCTGTTGTGGTACCAGGTGTCCTCTCCAGGCTCCAATGTACTACCATATCCTCCATGTGCACCTGGATATGCTGTCCATTGCTCTGTTTGAGCCACTGAGGAGGCTCAGCTTTGATATATGCATTCCATGGTCAGACCATGAAATCTGCAATTCTCTTCATGGTTGGGGTTCTGAGTCCAGCAGTTTGATTGGGGCCATCACCAAAGAAACTTCATCTGAAGTGATTCCAGACCTAATTCTTGTGTGTGCCTGCCAGTTTGAGGGCCTGTCACAGACCATCCCCCCTATGCATATGCTGGTTGTTGCAGTTGAAGGTCTATTCTGTCTCCAGCCCTATCTTCTATGCAAACCAATGGGTGTTGGAGCCCAATCCTGATCCTGCCCACCACATACGTGGTCATCATGCAAACCAGTGGGAGCTACAGCCTAGTCGGACGGACCTGCTATAACCCCCACAAGGCCTGATCCCTGCCCTGATTCCCATGTCCAGTCTGTCCCACGTCTCAATTCAGCTCTCATACCTGTCAATGGGCATTGAAGCCTAGTTCAACCCATCAGCGCCACTGTCCAGCTCTCACACTTACTGACAGGTGCTACTCTCTGTCTAGCCTTGCCTTTCCCAGTCTGGTCCTCATCCTCACCAGTCAGAATGGCAACCCAAGAGAGAGGTGCCCATTGCTTCCCTACTGGGCTCACTTCCACTGCCTAATTATACACTCCCCAAGTGGTTCTGTAGTTCGGCTTGATAGAATTAGCCCCTCGTGCCAGCATCAGCCAGCTGATACTATGACAGAGCCCCACCAACCCACACTCGGTCTGACTTCCAGTAGGAAGAATCAACACATCCTGGCTTTTCCTTGGTCTAGCTAGCTCACATGAGGCCAACAGGTGTTGTAGCTCTGCCTAATCTGGTCTGCCCCCATCCCAATTCGCACTCTCCTTGGGTTTCGTGATGCAGCAGAGGAGGCACATGCCCACCACCAACGTCTTTATTCCCTATCCCCTGGATCTTGGTGTGAGGTTGAGTGCCGTGGCTCAGTCTGGCATGGCCTGCTTCACCTCAGCTTTTCCAGTGGGTGCTGTAGCCTGGCCTGGCCCAGTACACCCCGAATTGGTTAGTGGGGACTACAGCCTAGCCCTATTCATCCAGTACCCAGTCCATGCCTCATGTGTACTGGCGTGTGTTGCTACCAAAGCTGGCCAAACCCACACTCCATTCTGGTGCTCAGATTCACGAATATCACCCAACCTCGCTTGACCCTGATCTGCACCAAAAGTATGCCAGTGGGTACCATAACCTGGCCTTGTCTGGGCTGTTCCCTATCATGGTTCTTGCTCTCACATATAGGGAATGTGCCCTGACTGAGGAGTCTCCCAGGGTCCTCCATCACAACCTCTCCAGTGCCAGATCACACACACACCACTGGGACTATGGGCCAGCCCTACTCAGTGGATCCCTTGACCTAGCAGGAACAATGGCCTTTCGTGACTGTCATTAACCCATTCCAGTTATTATTGTTGGGTGTTACAGCCCAGTCTAGCCTGGTCCACAGGCAGACATAGCTCACATCTGGCTCAGTAGGGGAAAAACCTAGCTTAGCCTATGCTATATTCATCCTGGATAGCACCAGCACCAGCGGGTGCTAGGGTCTAGTCCAGTCTGGCACACTCAACCCCAGTGCACACTTGTGCCAAGGGACACTGCAGGCATGTCCAGACCAGACTGCAAATCCCACTCTGGCTCACCACATTTACCTGTGGGAACCACAGCCCTGCCAGGGCATCCCCTTAGCTCCCCAAACAGGATTGTTCATCTATAGATCTTGCATGGGGCAGTGGTTGCTCTGATCAGGCTTGGCATGGTCCTACACCTGTCATGACCTTTGCCTTTGGATGTTGTAGCCTGGTCTGACCAGGCCTGCCCCAAGTCCCACCACTCGCAGGTGGATGCTGGAACCTGGCCCTGATTAGTCTGCTCTCATCCGAGGCTCATGCAAATGGATAGGTGTGAGAGCCTAGCTGAGCTTGACCTGTGCTCCAGCCTGATTTATGTTCTTGCTGGTGAGATAAGGTTGGTTCAGCCCTGCCTGGTCCACCCCCATCCAAAACTAACCCAAATTGGCCAACAGTTGGAGTTGCTCTGCTCAGGTTGCCAGGCCTAGAACATGTGCTCGACATTAGGATATATTTCCCCAATAGGGCAGTTTTCCAGGTTCCCCGTCTCAGGCTACTCCCTGACTCAGATCTCACAAGCTCCTAGCAGGTGCTAGGTCCTTGCCCGTTATAGCCTGCCACTCCATCTTGGCCTTTGTATGAGCTGGAGGATGTGGCAGCTCGGCCTGCTTCACACCCTGTGTTTTAGGATGCACATGTGGGTGTTGCAGCCTGGACCTGCCCAACCTGTTTCCAACCCCAGCACCCATGACTGTTGGCGGGTTCCATGGTCAGTCCTAGCTCAGCCTTTCACCACCCCAACTCTTAAGCTAACCAGTAGGACTTGTATTTCTACAGGATTGGGCCCTCTTATCCCCTGTAGAATCTACCCCTGGACCTGATTCTCTCGCATGGTGGTTAGTGTCATGACCCTGCCTAATGTGACCCATCCCCTGTTCCTGCATTCAGTCAGGTACTGGGATCTACCCCCACAAGACAGGCCCTGAGCCACAGCTTTCGTGTGGGCTGGCGTGTGGCGGTTTGTGATGTTCTGCACTAACAGCCCATCTCAGAACTCCCATGTGGGCTGGTGAATCAATCTGACCCAAAGTGATCTTACAGACTATTCCCTCCAAACTCATTTGAAAGTACAGTGACCCTGTCGCTGGGAGTCACACAATATTCAATCCTCACCTACATGCACATGGCCCGTATCCATGGATAAGGCCCTAGGCAGCATTACACACTACAAAGACCCTAGAGCTCACTGCTGGATGGCCAGCAGGTGAAGCTCAGCATCACTTAGCGCGCTGGCTGCCCAAAGTCCAGGACTCGCTCACTGGGTGGCAACAGTGGCCGTGGCCAGGGCCCTAAGCATTTAGTCCGACCTCACTCATGTACCCCCAATAGCTGCCACACTGCTGTTGGAAGCTCCCTCCCTCCCTCAGCTCTTCTTACTATAAACAACTTCCTTCACAGTGAGAGTCAGAAAGAACGATTTTCCATCTGCTGGTTCACCACCCAAGAGGCCACAAGAGCCAGAGCAAAGCCAGAGAGAAGCCAGGAAATTCATGTGGGTCTTCCACACAAGTGCCATGGCTCAAGCACTTGGGCCATCTTCTATAGCCTCTCCCAGGCCCTTGGCACACAGCCAGATTGGAAGTGGTGCAGTCAGAATGTAAACTGGCATCCAAATGGGATGCTTGTAGTCCAGGTGGTAGCTTTACCCACAATGGCACACTGCCAACCTTGCATAACAACACGAAAAACACATAGATAATGAAGGAACTCCAAGAATGTAAAACTGCAATATGTGAACTTCCAGAAATGCACAATGAAGAAGAAAATAATGAGAGAAAGGACCAGTTTTCTGTTGCTGTGGGAAGTCATACAGGGCTAATAGCAAAAGGGTCAGGAGCTAAAGTGGGAAGCAGTGACCCATGTGAGTACCTATTCAAGGAACGTGTGGGTTAAGAAAGCACATGAAGGAGTTGAGACATACCTCTGTGAGTGCAGGACCTGACCCCTGGCAGCTGTCACTCCAAGGAGGTGATGACACCAGTAGGAAGGGCAGCTGACTACGGCCCTTCTGCTCCAAAAGGGAAAAGGAAGAAGTGAGTGCAGGCCAGAATCAAGAAGATGTGGAACAACAATAGAGCA